ACTGGGAGGACTAGACATTGGCCTGGCTCGTCTCTGTAAGTCAAGTAGGGTCTTCTGAAGCTTGTTTATGCACCTCTGTGAAGAGGGTGAAAGATCTTGAAGATGTGTATGAAAGTTCTCCATTACAGTAGCAATGTATTGGCAAGTATCCCGGATGTCATCATCCGAGTTACATCCTGTATCTCTCTTCACCATGGTAGGCATGGCCGAAGCACCTTCCAGCTGAGTAGAAGGAACATCTTCACCACCCTTGTCAGTCATTTTAGGAAATTGAAAAGTCAGTTACTTTATTAGAAAGCAGAATACAGAATTTATCCCTAGTTGACATAGGCTCTATTTTCACAAGACTATCAATAATAACTATGACTATCAATAATAGGTATCAACATGAAATACTAATAGTGAGGGAAACTGGCTATTCCAGGAAATTAGGCTCCCAAAGCTATTCCAGGCAAATTGCCCCTAGAGTCCCATTGTGGCAATTGAACTCCCGGGTCTGTGAGATAATTGAGTTCCCGGGTCTGGGGAGGTAATTGAGCTCATGGGTCTATGAGGTAATTGAGCTCCCGGGTCTGCGAGGCAATTGAGCATCCCGGGTCTGGGCACCAAATTATGTTGCGGTCCGGTCAACAGGGGTTCACAAAAGCTATGTGAAGATTAGCTCAATCACCCTAAGATACAATACCTAGCTAAGCCTACCTCCAACCCAATTCAAATTCAATGTAAAAGCAATCAGGTAAGTGAATAAAGCAATTCAAAACAGGAACAAGGTGACATTAAACAGGTAAAAAGTAATAAGCGAGCTTTATTGCAGTAAATTAAGTGCATGAGTTTGAAAAGGAAAGGTATATTATTATTCTTGAGTTGATCAAGTCTTAGTGACTCACCCTTAGGGAGCAGCTACGTTGCTCAGCAAGCAGGAATGGGTTGACAATGACTTCCAGTTCAAATGAGCTTCAGGCAATGGGTGCGGGTGAGGCAAGCAATAATGTGCAGACAAGGATCACAAAGCGTGATAAGTGGTAAGCTTACTAAACTTAACCAAGACTTTTAATGGTGCATGCTACACTTCAAACATGATAATAAGGTGGAAGCAAGTGAACTTTTCAGACATTGCATAAAGTTGCATGCTCTAACTGGTAAATTATTGATGGAGAACAACACCTGAAACAAATACAAGGGAAGGAAACATTCATTAATAATAACAGTCACAAAAACCCTAAATTAAATGGAAAGAGGAAACCATATTAGGAAGCATAACCTAAAGTAAGCAATACACCAAAGTGCCAGGGATGAAAAGCAAGAACCTAAGAATCTAAGATTAAGCAAGAGGAGCAATATGCTCCTCTTCACCGGTAGCACACTTAAATAGCTAGTCTGATTCTGTCTGAAAAAGCTGTTCTTCAGTTATCCGTCTGCAGTCGTACTCATATGGGATGGTTCTCTTGCCATCGTTCACACCATCCTTGACAGAAATTGAGCTCAAACATTGTCTAGTGAGGCTCTAGTCTTGCAACCTTGCACCCTTGAATGTCTTTTTTGAGGTGCGCACAACTTCGTCAGGCCGACAGGCCCTATTGAAAAGTTAACTTATTGTCAGTTTGTCACTGCAAACTTATCACCAGGCTGGAATTCTAAGAATGGAAGTTCAGTTATAAAAATGCTTTCCACCCAAGGTGAAAAGCTTTCCTTTGATACAGTGCTCTGCCATGTTACTGACTATAAATGTAAAGATGGATCATAAGTGGACAAAAAGTTTCAATTGTATAGTACATCAGGTTTGTTATAGAATAATTTAGATGTCTCTTGTTTGATAGATATTTTTTATTTTTATTTTATTTATTGGACTTTTAGAAAATTTTCCAGGCCCTTAGTTCATAATGATCAAGTTTAAGTTCAGTATTTAGTTAACCAATACTGTAGCACATGTACCATATTTGGGGGCGGGGCTTATGGACACAACCAATCACAGCTTGAAAGCGTCCCCATCAACCAATCACAGCTTGAAAGCAAAATAACATCACAATTCCATTAACCAATCACAGCTGGAAAGCTGAAAGGGGCTAAAATCACAATCTTATCAATCAATCACAGCTGGAATTCTGGAAAGGGATAGGATGTGTACATAATTGACTGAAAGTGTAAAGTTCCTGGCCTTTCCAAGCTTTCAGGTCCTGCTTTCCAATATTCTATGTGTACTGGTTAATTTAATATCCCTCTAGAATTCCACACTGCTTATCACCTCTTAGAGTTTTGAAGCTACATCAATGAGACATATACCGTTCGATTTGCAAATAAAAGATCTACAAAACTGGTGGTGGGCTTTTTTCCAAGTTCGTTATAGTTTGGATTATATTTTACAAAAAGGGGGGAAGGTGGAGGTAAAATAAAAAAATTTCAAAAAAATTAGGAAAAAATGCTCCCACACGGCCTTACCCACAAATGAGAAATTCAAAAAGTACCTTCTTTATGGCCATTTTCTAAGAATTTCACATTTTCTTTCATTTTTAAAAAAAAAATCACATGAACAAAAAAAACAAAATACCATTTTACATTCGTGTACCAAATTTTGAATCAATCCATCTGTTGATATCCGAGATAATTTTTGGGGCTGACGCTCTGGGTCGCTCCCTGGAAAAATTGCTCCCACACCCACAAATGAGAAATTCAAAAAACCCCTACCACCAGCTTTAGATACGGTCTTTACGCATCGAATGATATGTGTCTCAATGTTTTAGCTTGAAAATCCTAGGAGGAGTTGGGATTTCTAGAGTACCTCCTTTTTGGCTGTTTTCTAAGAATTTCACATTTTCTTTCATTTTTCAAAAAATTCACATGAACAAAAAAAAAAAAACAAAATATCGTTTTACATTCGTGTACCAAATTTTGAATCAATCCGTCTGTTGATATCCAAGATAATTTTTGGGGCAGACGCTACGGGTCGCTCCCCTTAACACATTGCTCAATGCACATTATGATTACCGTAAACTGGGGTAACTTAGACTCCTGGGGTAACTTAGACCACTTTTCGTTTTTTTAACAAAAACCCCCAAAACTCAAAAACTATTTGACAAAGAAAAATTCTGTCAATGGGCATTAAAGGCCTAATACTGAGGCTACGTAACACAATAGAAAGATTTAAAAAGTTTGCATATCTAATAGGTTAAAAAATTAAAAATGTGACCCATGAAAAAAAGCTATTATTTAAAGCCTGTCAGAGTACCCCCTCCAATTTTTTTATTTTTTTGGCAAAATAACTCCAGGTTTTGATGCATTGTAGTACAACTCTTCTAGTTACATATGCAACAAACAAATTTTAGGAAAGTCTCATAGTTTGCAAATGGGGGGTGCCACCCCCCAATGGGGGAACTTAGACCACCTAATGTCAGCCCTGACGGGGTAACATAGACCGGCTTAGAAATTAATTTAAAATTACCATATATAACATTTCATGTTTGATACACCTATTAATGTTTTTTCTTTAGGTTTCAGACTCTACAAAGTCTTATATATATATGGTAATTTAACTTAATTTCCAAGCTGGTCTATGTTAACCCTGTCAGGGCTGCTATTAGGTGGTCAGAGTTCTCCCGTTGGGGGAACTTAGACCACCTGGGAGGTGGGACCTCTCATTTGCAAACTATGAAACTTTCCTCAAATTTGTCATTTGCATATGTAACTAGAAGAGTTCTACTACAATGCACCAAAACCCGGAGTTATTTGGAGTTATTTTACCAAAAAATGTAATTGATTTTACCACACAGTCTAAGATACCCCTAGAGCTGGGGTAAAAAAGACCATTGATTTTTTCTAAATTACATCAAAACTATGAGAGGCAGGAGCCAGCAATTCATGGTGAGTGAAGCTAGAGTATAGACCTGTATTTTACATGTTTCAATTTAAGTTTAACTTATCTAGTAAAAAAGTGGTCTTAGTTACCCCAGTTTACGGTATATAACTTCCAAGCATCAGTGCATCACTATTATCAGTTCACACTTCATGCTGTGATTATTTGTGAATCAAATGAAGCACAGTAAAATAAATAACAAAGGTGATACTGTGATATTTGCAATTTGTTACTACCTTGAAAGTTCAAACTTCAAAAATTGAATTACTGCAAATAATTTTTATTAATTTGAAAGTTTCTGGAGGTGGAGGGAAGATCCATAGTCATACAAAGCTACATACCCACACTGATGGTCCATGGATGATGAACTCCCTACAATCCATCCCATCGTTTGGGGATTCGTCCCCATGTGAATGTCTACAGCATATTTGACGATATTGGGTGAAGACTTGAAGGTTTCAATTCAAGCTGGATAATAGTATATGAAGCCCGTAGGCCTAGTAGGCAGTAGCTTCCCATAACCACATTCTGCTTTTCCTCTTATAATAACTTTTGAATAATTCATGCATGTTAAACTATTATTCGGAAATAATAAAATAATGAAGCAGAATGAGAAAAATGAATTAAAAATTTAATGTTTATTTTCTGAGTTTACCACAGCAAATCTCCCCACTGCATTGGGGTGGGAGGGTTCCAAGCTTGGTAGTTGCTTTGCTGGTCTCTGGTTGTCTGATTCATGACTGCATTCTTCCTGACAATTACCAAATAGGTAGAAACAACATACTCATTGTACGGTGATGAAATCAAACAATATTTTCACCAAATTGATTTGTTTATCATAATATTGTTCAGTTAAAGTAGTTAGAGCTTTAATTTAAATAATTATTGCCAAGACACATTTTTGCAGATTACTGTTGATGCTGCATGACTTTTATACAAATCAATTGTGTTATGGCTGACTGATCTTAGCACATTCTTTTATTAATCAGCCTAAATCATGCTATCACAACACAGCATTGCTGTAAATTATGAGCATGTATTGTGAATAAGTCATATCATTAAGAAAACAACCAATTTGCTAATAGAGTAAAATTTATCAATTCATGTATAAATCCTAAAATATGAACAAGTAGGCAAAAATTGTATCAAATTGTTCTATAATTTAAAATCGCAATTTGTATTCATGTTATTGCAACATTACAAAGAAAATGAAGATAAAGGTCATCTCAAGAGCAATTGGGAACAGTGTGCACTATGTGTATAGGGAGTGGGGGAGAAGAAGTTTGCAGCCAGATGTAGGATGCCAACATTAGAGGGAAGATTGGACAAAAAATGTTAGCACGTGAGGCTGTTTGGGCTCGATGCTGCATTCAGCATCTGATCCACAAGACTATTATGACATCACTATCTTGATCTTTACAGATCAAGAAGGTAAAGGAGCTGCTTCAATTAATAATCTTATAAAGTCTATAATTTGCTCTGTAAAATGAGTTGGTTGTTTGGTGGAGGAAGCAGTTCTGACTCCAGCTCAGAAAGTTCCCACAGCTTTGAAACAGACTCAAGCTCATCAAGCTTCAACCCTGGCTTCTCAGATTCAAGCTTCTCCAGTGGTTCAGGTAATTTTTTTTCCTTTTAATTCATGGTATTGTAAATTAAATTAAGTTTTATAATTTTTTCATTCCAATCTGATCAGGAGAGTATATTGCCTCTCCTAACTAGCATTCAATGTGCTTTCTTAAAGCAAAAAATTAGTTTCCTTGTTGCTACCTTTTCAAGATGTTGTAATGTATTTTTGAGACTTCTCTAGTTCTACAGTACTTACCAAATAGAAATAATTTATACAACTCTATGATTCCACAGGTTCATCAGATGCAGACAATGCCCAAATGACAGAGATGCTGCAGATTGAGGAGAGCAAAGCCACATTCAATAGCACGGTAAGCCAGGAAATTTGTTGCACTTATTATTTTGCCATTTATCTTACTGAAAGGCTAAGCAGTGAGGTTCAGCTTTCCTTTTGGCATAAGTACACATTTTTTCTGCATTGCTTGATAATTGTTCAAGAGGTTGCACACAATAATGATTGAGGTAAAACAATTTTGAAAAATATCAAAGGATTTGAGCAATATTTTTGGTGCCAATTCCTATAGCGAATGTTGATACTTGACTTGCTGATCTTCAATAACTATATCTATGTATATATACTTATTTGTTTTGTTCTACTGCTTTGATTTTCAAACTCATCCCTAAACGATCTCAGACATAAAAGTTAAAACTGCTCCATTACTGAGTTGAACAATTTCATATCATTCACGGAATAGAATAGCAATGTGTCTGATTAAATTTTTTTAATATCATAAAATTTATTAAGGTTCCCATTGCAATAAAAGTAGTTTTTTATTCATTCTTAAAGATATTGCTGATGATGGTGTTAAGTGTGCTCTGGTCATATGGTTGCATTTGAAGTAACAAAAATCACTGCATAAATGTATGAATCTGTTGAATTTTGTATGCAACTTGCTTGCTGAGAATATTCTGTAGTGCCATGTATGCTCTTCTTATCGACCTTCAACATCATTCAATAAAACTTGTTATACGAAATTAAACAATTTTTTATCCATAGGTTCACAAAATCAACAGCCAGTGTTTTGAAATTTGTATGAAATCTGAGAAGATTTCCGATTCCCTGACCAGCCGGAACCGGCAATGCATTTCTGACTGCTGCGATCGCTACGTCGACACTTCTCTTTATGTCACCAATCGCTTTGCTCAGCTTCTGCAAGGCAAGGCATCGCGCTAAACCTTAGCCTCCTGTACATAGTTAGTGTAGGACTGAGCAATTTAAACTTAATACGCCTCTCCTAATTTTAAGTAAGAGAGGGGGTTTCTGACCCCTCTCTCGCTTCAACGAAAGTATCCACACTTGCCATGTCTCCATTTTCATTCGTAGGCATAGAAATAGAGCACTGACGAAAAAGCACTTCGCCTGATGTCGATATATTTTTCGTTTTGCTGTCATTTTTGTGCTTGATTACATCGTAATGATTGTGTGATATTTTGAAAGATATTTTTTTTACCAAAAGCTTTTCTCTGTCAAAAACTACTTTGGAATTGAATGTTTTGTATAATATTTTTTTTACATCGCAATAACTAAATAGAATGTTGGATATTCCTTTGAATACATTGTTCCCCCAAGGTTTTATGAACTCTTTATCCTGTTTTGTGTCATTAGAAGTATTTGAAAATTTTGTATGTCTTCATTTTTTAATGTTGATGTATATAACAGGATTACATATATGTAGAATCCATTCTTACCTTAACTTACGCTAATAAATTTGAATTCTTTTCATTCGTTGCTGGCTCGAAAATGTTGAATTACATTTACTGAACACTTCTTAGGAATTCTTACGAATGAAAAAAAATTATGGATTTAATTTTTAATTGCTAGAGAAATGCGGAACTTTGTATATATAACCATGTGAAAATACATATCATGTAGGTATTTGCAAAGAAAAAGATCACCTAGCAATTTTTTTTAACCAAGGGTTGAAAGGCGCGTTACCACTCACAGGAAACTCAAACTGTTAGGATTAAACCTAGTAATTTTCAAATTCCCTCTATCTTACCTCTTACCACGTTTTTCTTGACTTCGTTTCGTGTGTGTTAGTCGTCAAAAATTCGAACCTTAATTTAGAGCACTTCTAAACATCCTAGTAAGTTGAAATGTGGCATGCATGCTTATGCTGCCTAATAATTCAAGATTTGATACTCAGAAATAATAATTACAATTTTTTTTTGGAAAAAAATTTGTAAAAAAAACACTAAAACTTCACGGATTGGAATTGAGTTTTTTCTCAAACATCCACACTTGCCAACCCTGGAAATTGATTTGAATTGCTAAAATTGCTAACTAAAAAGTAGAAAATAAATATATATAAAAATATTTTTAAAACGTTTTTCTGGTTTTTACAAAACTAAAAATAGTGAAATAAAACAAATAAAAAAAACTTTCAAAAACCACGTTTTCTTAATGGACAAAATAGAAAAACATTTACTCTTACATAACATTTTACATGACTTAAATTTTATGTAGGCGTAAATGTATTTCTTTTTTGTCCGTTAAGAAAACGTGGTTTTTGAAAGTTTTTTTTATTTGTTTTATTTCATTGTGTGTTTGCTCGGCTTTATATGTGTTAGAAATTTTAAATTGATTTTTCATGACCATCGCACTCCTAATTGAATAAATGAACTGAAACTCGTTTTAAGGAACTGGTCAGGTATATAGGTCTCAAACTTTTAATTTGGACGATGTTTAAGTAATTATTCCAAGATTCAATTCAAGCCTCGATATGTTTCACATAGATTGAATAGTTTTCCAAGTTCTTTGGAACAACAAAAATACTGGAGCAAAAGTATGCAAGTGAAAAATCTTTATGGCGCTGAGAGGGTTGCAGATTTCATGTCGCGCTAGGATCCTGCATTCGTAGTCGAGTTGGACGAGCTTTTTTGTTAGTTTGAAGTTTACGTCTTAAAATTGGCCTTTACTCTATCCATTTCCCCTTCGTTTCAACTACACAAGAAAAATGAACAAAAACTATATACAGATGACGGTGAAAAACTAAGAGCTTCGTTCCTCAAATGCATCAAAAGATCGCAGTGCGCATACTTTTCCACTAACTAAATTCCGAATCTACTCGGCATTTTCTGAGAGCCTCGGTAATATTACCGAGTGCTGTGAACGCGTACAAGGGAGCGAGGCATTGCGCTAACCCCGTATGTTTTGCTCGGAGCTCTTCATAAATCCCGAGACCAGAGTCTGGAAAAACGAATGTCGGCTCCCTTGCCGACATTTGTTTCGCCTCCTTGATGCAATTGTTAAAGCAGGTGAATTTCCTGAGAGAAATACTGGTGCGTTCTCTGTGACGCTTTTTCTTCATCCTTGTATTGTTAACCGGTCTCCTGCCATTATAGATGGAAACAGGCTGCAATATCGGCAATGTTCGAACCCAACATCACGATCCTCTGTGCTACTCGGTTTTGGAAGAAGTAATCGTTCTTATTATATACTTTTTTTTATCACAACCTAATCTTTCAACATCAAGTAATCTTTCTTTGGTTGGTAGGAGTTCACAGAGAGTTGCTAATAATGAGTAGCTATCTCCATCTTTCTTATGCTGTTCATTATGAAAAATAGGCATTACGATTATACAAGCTAGCCTAATTTCGTGGTTACGTAGTCATGCAAATCAACGTTGCCTTTCTGATAAAAAATAAGACAAGGTGAAGAAAATGGTCTGGGCATTTTTATTTTAGAAATTTATCAATAACCTCGTGATGAAAAATGGAAGGTTAGTTAGTCATCGATCTGCACTCTCAGCTGGCAAGCTCAGCGGTGGAGGCAGAGAAAGGTCGACACCATCCATATGGGGTCGATTATGGCAATGAACGGCCGAACTTAAAGTGACTAGTCGACATAACTGGCAAACTTGGCTCGCAACAGCCTGCGCCATCTAGCGGCAGTCGAGTCCAAATAATCCTATATTGTCTGAAGAAGATGGTCGAAACTGCCTCAGTTTATTGTGATGAGAGCTACGAATATAAACTATATATGGCTGGAAAACTGAAATTCTTCAAAAATTCTGCCAAGTTTTACACAAGTGATGCACCTAATTGACACTTCTCCGAACTGACCAGCGAACTCAAACGCAAAAACGCAACTTCGACAATAAAATAGTGACTCACTTCTACATGAATTCTGAACGAATCTGGATAAAGTTCAGAGCACGACTAATAAATAGTAATGCGACGCGGCACGGTATAATATAGCAGATCTGTTCAGAATTGATAGAGTTTTGAGCTGTTAAGTTGCTCATATGTTGCGTTTTATTGCTCCATAATCAAAAACGAAACGATGAAAAATATTTAACAACTCATCCGCGGTGTCTTGTTATTAATTAGTTATGTTTTGAATTTCATGCCGATTTGTCAATTGATACAAGTTTCTCTAGAACCCTGTACCACTTGACGTTCCTTTATCAAAGTTCGTTGATGAAAACCTTCTTTAAATGAACTGCATTCAAGTTTTTCTTGCCTGTGTGTGTTATCCTCCTACTCAAAACTTCATAAAGCCGAATGGCTTTACCTCTTGCTTCTGCATGCACTTAACCGCGTATAATTGGACTGTATACACTTCAAATGATTCATTAGTACATTTATCGGAAGCGTAATATTTTTGCCTTAAACGCGAAAATATATTACTCATGTTTTCGTTTGTTTCGTAATAATAATACAAAAATTCACCAGAAATTTGCTTCATGACGAAAACAAAGGAAAACAGCCGCAATGAAGTTCATGTTTTAGAAGCCATGAAAGTTCCCCGCATGAGAGCGGGCTTTAGTATTTACTGGTCTTATAACATAAGCGCTTCAAGGAAGCTTTAAGAGGCGATATTTTAGTCGATTGGCAAATCATGAGGAGAATATTGCCAGCCAAAATTTGCACGACGCTTCACGAGACGCTTTTGTTTAGCGATACATTGGCTACGGCTGGTGCTGGGGAGGCAGGTCGTGCTGCTGCATACTGAGTGACGTTGTAGCGAGGGATGAGGGCTTTGTTCTAGAAGCTTGAAATTTAGTTCACAAACTGGTTAAGGAGCCAAAAACTTCCTATTGAGAGCTAGGAATTTCGAAGGTAAACAAGTATAAACATAATAACAAAGGATTATGAACATTTTTTTGCTATTACTTGCCTCTCGTACACTGTTTTGGTCATGACGAAAATCAACTGCGTAGTTCCGAAGAATTTGCAGTATAATGTTCGTCGCTGGAATCGAATTAGCTCCAATTTAATACTCACGGACGTTTTAGATCTTATTTTGAAATGGCTGTAAACTGTAAACATTAACCTCTGCATTTCGATTCTCTAACCAGTTCTTCATCTCGGCTGTCAAGAGGCTTGTGAAAATCAAATTTTGCGTGACGTTGAACACGTCACTTTTCTTAGTTAAAAATTACAAGGCAATACATTTTGTTAGAAATTGACCTGAAAAACTTTAAATGATGGTAAAATTTACTATGAGTCTAAACTAACTTTTACATCCCAAGTACCATGTTTTCTTACAACTTCTATGTTTCCAAGAGCTACAGAATATCATCCTTCAGCGTTAGCATTATTTTTTCTTTTACTTCAGCATAAATTTTAATGATTACTCAGTCTTTTACCTTAATGTGTCAAAGTCTTGTTTTGTTGGTTATGACTTCAAAGTTAGTCAGTTTTAAAATTATTTATTTAGTCCCTTAACGAAAATGCACAAAAGAACCCGATTAGTTAAAGCAAATCAGTTTTAAATGCAATGTAATTCTTTTCCCTTTATTACTAATGAATGAAAATGGGTTAAGCCCTTTGATGGTAAACAAAATAATGTATCAATCTCATGCTACAATTTTTAAATTATGGGCCCTTAAGTTCAATACCTAGCTCGGAATTTTTTTATGATAAGGCAACTCGTAAACAGTGTCAAGTCTTCACACGATCCAATTTTACGCTTCATTGCCTTGCCATCAATAGAAATTTTATGACATTGGAACGCCATTTCAATGATCAGTTATCAAAAACATCATACCTCACGTTCGCTCATGGCACATCTGTTTATTTTTTAGATGCTTACGACACCGAAAAGTGAACTGGAATTCGATAAAAAATCTAGATAGACTTACAGACGAGGCAATGCTGTAGATGAACCATAAGGACGATCCCACTCTCGTAAAACCACCATCAGGATACTACGTCCATTGACGTGAGTGCTCAAAGCTCACATATGCGCTCCCTGAGGTGCCGTTCTCTGCTGATGATATCCAAATACTTGCATCGTAACAACTTCTTGACATCAGCTGTACGGCCTGATGTATACTGTGATGTCTGATACAGTGATTGATGTCAACGTTTTGTGCATTGTGATGTATATAGTGTGATGCATTGATTTGTGTCAACATTTTTAAATCTGTAATGTATATAGTGGGGTTCTGATTTAGTGATTAATGTAAGTTCTCAATAAATGACATCCAAATTGATTTCCTAACATCAGCTATACGGCTGCCTGATCTGTATTGTGATGTCTGATACATTGATTGCTGTCAATGCATTTTGCTTTGTGTTGATCATTGTGATGTCTGATTTAGTGATTGATGTAAGTTCTCC